AGATTGGAAAGAAGTCATTGTAGACTAAATTTGCGAGCTAGGTTCTTCACAAACAGAGTTATACCACTGTGGAATAAACTACCTGAAGCAGTGGTTAACTGTGTNTTCAAGAGAAAGCTAGATGAATGCTGGGCAGTGGTATTCCCTGAAGTTGAGTGTTGAAAGTTAATCGTTAGGCTTTACTTTCCGAAATACTATAAGGGATCTGATACTGCACACTAACATTCTGCCTTTCAGAAACTACTATTGACTCGAAGTGTTGGAAGCCAACGAAACCGCCGACAACACAAATAACTGGACGCGCGATTGGCAAGAGCCACAATTCGTCCTGGGAGAACTGAACTGAACTGACCTAGAAAATTTCATCGTACTCCCATTAGGTATCAGCCCAATCTTTTGACATGTCGGATGTCTCTTTCGCCCCGGAGGATCTAGAACAGCTCAAGGTATTGTGTTTCGGTTACATTTCCTCATCTCATTACACAGTTAAACGAACTAAAAAAGTTGTGCAAAAAACAAGGGCTTGGAACTTCCGGAACAAAGGTCGATTTAATCGCTCGATTAGTTGAAAGCAAAGGTTGGCCTGTCATCCTCGTTACTTGCATATTATTTCTTGTAGTAAAACGCTATGAAAATAGGCATGTGGTTTCATTTTTGGTTTCGTGCTTTCGCTATCATTTAGGTTTTACTGAACCCCCGAACTGCGTCAACGTTGCTCGTAATAATAGCAACTACTATGCTATCCTGGTGTGCTCCTAACTTTCAGTGAATGTGGGTTACGGTTTGTTTTGTTTCCCCCGGAGTTGTAAATTCCAAGATCGGAATTTTTGAAAATAGTGTAAAGTTAAAGTAACGAAATGTATCTCTGCAAAGAACCCCCCTCCCCCGAAAAACCCATTCACTATTAAGTTTTGCATTATGCTTATGGACGACCTCTACTGCGTCCACAACGCAAAACGGATGCTGATGATACTGGCCTTGTAAGCGAAGCTGAATCCTAAAGCCTACTTCAACTATGTACAATCGAAGATTGACAATACACAGGCAATCTAACCGCTTGGCAGTTGAGTTATCGAGTTATGGTGTGTTTGGCACCATCTGCGTGCAAGGTGCGTGCATGAACATTTTCAGAACTGACAGGAGTATGTGTTTGCACCCACCCTCTGGTGGTCAACTAGAAGTGGTTGAGAGTTTTAAGTACCTTGGGAGTTTATTCGCAGCTGCTTCAGTTTTGTCTTTGTTTGGCACATCCCGCCTTCCAGTTGTGGCCCATAGGATGCAGATTGACGTTGGTAGAGACGCTAAGAGATATGGCCCCGATTAGAAGTCAGTGGAGCGAATGTTGTACGATCTGCATGTTGAAATCTCGTCTCCCATAAAGAAAAACAATAGACTAACATCAAATATGAGGTATGCGGCGAAAACAAAAATGATATTCTTGTTAACCACAATAACTGTTTATCCCTCATCCTATGGTTTTGTAGCCCAACCCACCTCTTTCTCCGTTATTCTTGTTAGCAAGCCGTGATATAAATGCTAGGAAGCCCTGACTCCGAGGCCATCCAGGGTGACCTGAGCAAATGGTGGTGAATGGTCTGTATTATGGCAGTTACCTCTCAGTGTAAACAAATGTCAAGGACTCATCAACCAGCAGGGACGGGGTCAAGATAGATATCTCGGCACGGAGTAGGGGGACCTCAAAGCTGAGAAGAAAGTCAGGGATCTTGGAATCAAGGTTCAGGACGACTTCAAACGTAGTGCACTGTGCAGACAATAGCCCGAAAAACACTTAGGGCACTCTTGAAAATAGTGAGTGGGAGCTCATTTGCTCCTGCTGCCTTTTCTCGCTTCATAGTCTGGATGCAAGACTGAATACTACCGTTGGAGGATCGCACGACACTGCCCAAGAAGCTTCAGTTAAGGATGAGGCAACCTGGTTAGCGGCAGGCCAGCTGAACAGTTCGCGGAAGTATTCTGCCCCTGCGATCAAGTCGTCCATCCTTATTGTGAATATCTCGTCCCCTCTCTCATCGCAGACTGTTTCACTAACTTGAGTTCACCGACATTCCGTATTACTTATCAGTTGGAACAATCTTTGACTATTTCCTGATGCAGTTGCTACTTCCATTTCACTAGCTATTGTTGCCCACCAGTTCTCACGGTCCTTCTTTAGGCTCTTCGTAAGCTGACTTTGTAGATGCCACCTAACTCTCTTTTAATCCTGGCAGGTCGAGGTTTTCCGTCCTGAGATATCCAGTGCCTCCGATGGGCTTGAGGCTCAGACCCACAAGCATTATTCGCTGATCTAATCCCACTGCTCACCTACATCATCAGGTTGAGGCGCACTTAGCCCACGCACTAGCTCTGATTCATAGCGCACACGAACTGCTGAAACCGATATTCGATGATGAGCTATTCGGGTTAGCTGCATTCGTCGCCGGCCAGTCAGTCGGAGAGCGAACTGCATCAAACTAATGCCTGGTCTGACTAAACGCAGGTGGTCCAATAGGACCTGCAGTTTTGTACTGAGCCGCGCCAATGGTAGCTTACTGCAATGTGTTCGTCTTGAGTTAGCGTACCAGGTGAACTGGAGCGCCACGTTGCCGTCCGTCGAGAACTGTGTCGGAAACTGGTGGTAGATAGGAGCGGATGATGATCCGCGCAGAACTGAAGAAGTCGATCACGGTTATTTGTTCGTTGGCAGGGCAGAGCACAACTACCGCCTAAGCAAGCTTCTGATGCGCCCAGTTTTCCAACCTGCGCGTTAAAGTCATCTGGAAGTATAACTGTGTCGGAGCGTCGATTCAGCCGCATGGGATCGATGAGTTCATCGTTGGGTGGTGGTAGCGCAGTGGTTTATTCGTTGCCACAAGTGTGCTTGGGATTCTATGGTCCGAGGTTCGAGCCCGGCCACTACCACCCAGCTTTGTTGGTAGGCGGCTGTGCTGTCGTTTGGTTCAATACCGCACCTAATCTATCGGGGCCCTATGTGGTTCACTACTCCAAGTCCCGGGGCTTGGGTTACCAGTTTCCATCACTAAACAGCAGCTCCTCGTGACTATGGGGTTTACCCCGTCTGCTGTTCATCACACGAAAGTGTGTGATAAAAAAAAGAAAGCGTCCTTTTTGGTATAAGAACTGCAATTGGTCGGTGCGTATGCCGATACGAGTATCAAATGTTTTGGTGTTGCTTCCCTTCCGGACGCTGATTGAACACTCTAGACGCACTGCACATAAACGACTATTGACGGGGATCCAATCGATAAGAGAGGAATCAGCCCTATTGCTGAGTACACTACCTACCCTCCTCTGGCCTACTGAACAAGCTTCATCGTCGCCTGATGCGCGAATAACGTATCTCGACGACAACCCTGGCGCGCTCAAGTGGCTTATAGTAGTAAGATCCTGAATTCGAGTTTCCGAGATGCAGCAAATATCGATCCCTAAAGATTCCATTGTACGCGCCAGACAAGCTTGTTGACCTACCTGCATCAAAGTCCTCACGTTGAAGGCCCCGGATTCAGTGATTGACGAGTCTTTAGAATCTAAAGATTTTTGTACCATGATTTGCCTGGCACACAGTCTGTCCCCAGACAAGTGTGAAATATATATATATTTATATAGACAGATAGATAGATAGCTAGTTCACTTCGTGGTACATTACAGTGCCAGTTGGTATCGACCTTTGGTGAGGAACATTACAGGTTAGAAGGAGGGGCAAATGGAGAGGGCTGGGTATTAAAAATTAAAAAAAGGTGTGGAAATCTGAGCAGTAGTCCAACTATTACTACCCACCCCGCTCGATGCAATGAGCAGCGCGTTCCTGATTATCCTGCGCGACGACCGATGCAGTATGGAATTATTTTTAGTTTGTGAATGCATTGGGCGGGTGCTGCTAGGGTGTCCAGCCACTAAGCAGGAGAACGATTAGGGTTCTCGTCCAAAGCATTTAGTTCTGACAAGAACCTAGCCGCAAGGCAGCGGGTAAAGCGAAGCGGAGGCCCATTTACGTGTATCGATTACTCCACCATATTTTACCGACTAACGCAAATTTCAGTCCAACCCCCAACCTTGAGGCCCGAAAGACTGAACTTCATTGAACTCAAGGGTGCACAAACCATCACCATGTCAAGGTGCAGTCTCGTCGTGATGAGAATAAAGCCAAGTGTGGTCAAGCTAATACCTGGCACGAGGGTATGAAAACCCTAGCCAAGAGGCTAGGTCACATAGGTCCCGTTAGGCTCCCTGGCTCGGGAGCTCGGGATGATCGTAACCGATGGTTAGAGACAGTGATATGGTTGAGTGTCTTAAACAGTGGTTTTCGTGCATCTTAATTTCTTTTGCAGCCATAGTTTACTGGAGTTCTCAATTTTCTCTCCGACTCTACCGTCAACCTTCTTGCCTTTCTCCTAATATTCGTCCAAATGGGCGACCAAAAGACAGCAACCAAAACCGGCGCACGAAATTGCATGGTTAATGGTTGTACAAACGAAAAACGTTTCCACATCTGTTGATCTCCAACCCGAAACGGCGACTATCAATAAGGCGAGGTGCGGTAGACGGTAACTGGGCGTGCGCCGTACGTATCCTCACCAGCGAAGCCTACTGAATTCTGGGACACTGAATTATCCATCGAATCCTTACTAAGTACGTGACGGCTTATCTCAGAGCTGTGTTACTTGGGTGCTGCATCTTTATGAAAGGTTTGTCCGAGAAGTGTATTTCAATTTTTCAAT